ACAATGTGAAAAGATCACAATATATCCCACAACAGTTCAACCGCATGACGAGAAACTGATGTCTAAGGATACTTCCATCCTTCGGAGGTCAGTAAAATGAGGAGCCAGATGGTTGGGAGCAATAGGCTGACTCCCTACCATAAAGCGGTATATAAGTCTAAGTGCTATTGCTATTACTGTACTATAATATCTCCAGGGAATAGTTATGGCTTGGAATAATAAGGAATTAAGTTAAAATACTCATTTACCAGTATATCATCAATTGCCATCAGTGACTGAGTTTTCCATTTGTTTAAAGTATTCTGCATTTTTAAAGCTAACTATCACCATTGCACAAGGGGAAAAAATAATAAATTTGCCTATTTCAAGGAACTTTTTCTCTTCAAGGAAAAGGTGAGAGCAGGAAAAATAAAGCAATGGTGTCCTTGTTTCTCTCAAAATTAGCTTCAGAGGGGTAGTAGCAGTGGTGGGTTTCAATTTTTTTACTATCAGTTCTGTGCGTGGGGCATGGCGGGGGAAGGATATTGCAAAATTCCCATTCCCTCCCCACCCCACTAACCTGCTTTCCAGCTCCATTCTCCTGTGCAGGGCAACAAAAGAAGACCCAGCCAATCAGCCAGGACTCAGGAGGCCGAGAATAGATGTGGTATTTGTTGGTTCTCCGAACTACTTAAAATTTCTGTTACCGGTTCTCCAGAACTGATCAGAACCTGCTGAATACCACCTCTGGGTAGTAGGGTTCTACACGCTAGCTGTTTACAATATAGCTTACTTATCCCGCCAAAGCACTAACATACTTTGCTGATTCAAAAAGGCTGCATCCTAACAACATCTAGAGTAAAGATAAGATCCTTTGATTCAGAAACATTTCAACTAAAAAGAAGGCAATAACTGAGGCAGGAGGGTCCTTGGTCCCCAAAATGAGTTCCATTACTGAAACTGACCTGCTTCTAGCTATCCAACACTTCTCCACATGAACATGATATGTAAGTGGTATCTGTTATTGTTATCTCTTAGATAATAATGCAGATGATTTAAACTTATATCTTTAGAAAAGGTTTTGAAAAGAAAGGAATGGCTATCAGCATCTCTAGTTTAGAACATCGAATTGATCCACTGTTGGCTTTGACACAACCCAAAATGGAGACAAGCTCCCACCAATTTTTTTAAAGTATTAGCATGAATGTCCTGCAACTTGGCAAAATAATATGGTAGTCCTCAACTTATAACCATTTGCTTAGTGACCACTTGCAGTTATGGCATTGAAAAAAGTGACACGATCATTTTTCACAATTTGCAGTGGTTGGCAATTAATGTGTATTTATGATGGTTGCAATGTCCTGGGGTGATGTGATCACTTTTTGTGAACAAGCAAGTTCAATGCGGAAGCCAGATTCATGAAACAATTGTGTTACTAATTTCACTGTAGTGATTCACTTAACCGCAGCAAGAAAGATTGCAAAACGGGGCAAACCCAATAACTAAAATTTTAGGCACAATTATGGTTGTAAGTTGAGGACGAACTGTACGGCACAACCAATTCAGAATAATACTAGTAGCTTGGGGTTGAAATGAGAGTTCTTGGTGCACTCTGAGCTTGGTTATTTCCTTGCAGATGTTTCATTATCCAAACTAGGTAACATCATCGGTGACTAGTCATTTTAATGAAGGGTGAAGTTGGTAAACATGTGAAGTCACATACGTAGGCAAAGCACGAGGAAACAATAAAAGGCAAAGGGGGCTGGGAAGCCAAGGAGAAAATCATGCAAAGAATCCCAAAGAGAAATCAAACTGAAAGAAATAGCCTCATCTGAACTGGGTTCAATTCCTGTTACAGTTTGTGCAGGTCAATGCAATGATCATTTATATCAGCAGTGAAAAGGGTATACATCAATTCTCTCTATGTGGATTCACTTTTTCCATGTTTCTTATAGTGACATGGGCTTTTTTATAAAGTACAGGCAGTCAGAAATATGATTTGGTGCCCCTTTTTAATGGCAAAAATGAATAGAATAGAATTCTTTATTGGCCAAATGTGACTGGATACACAAGGAATTTGTCTTGCTGCATATGCTCTCAGTGTACATAAGAAAAAAGATACATTCTTCAAGAATCATAAGGTACAACACTTAATAATCATAGGGTACAATAGGCAATCAAATCATACTAGGAAACAGTCAATAAAAATCATTAGAATAAAAGCAACAAGGTTACAGTCATAGCCATAAGTGGGAACAGATGGGTAAAAAGAACGATGGGAGGATTAATAGTAACAGTTGGACAGTGTTGAGGGAATTATTTGTTTAGCAGTGATGATGTTCGGGAAAAACTGTTGTGTTTAGTTGTTCTGGTGTGCAGTGCTCTATAGCGTTTTTGAGGGTAGGGGTTGAAACAGTTTATGTCCAGGATGTGAGGGATCTGTAAACATTTGCATTCACTCAACTGGAATCCTGTGATATTTCAATGGATTTATATTAGGATGTTTATTTGTTTATTTTATTTATTTATTTGATTTCTCAATCGCTTACAGGGTAATAGGTATAAGTGTAAACATAGTTATGAATACATGAAATGGATACATATAAGAAAAATAAAAAGAATCAATGGGACAGGGACAGTAGGCACATTGGTGCGCTTATGCACGCCCCCTACAGACCTCTTAGGAAAGGGGTGAGGTCAATAGTAGACAGTCTAAGGTGAAAGTTTTGGGGGTTTGGGGAAGAAACCACAGAGTCAGGTAGAGTATTCCAGACATTGACCACTCTGTTGCTGAAGTCGTATTTCCTGCCCATCTAGTTTGGTGCGATTAACCTTGAGTTTGTATCTATTGTTTGCTCTAGTGTTGTTATGGTTGGAGCTGAAGTATTCATTGACTGGTAGGACATTGCAATGTATGATTTTATATACTATACTTAGATCGGACCGAAGGCGGTGTAGCTCTAGGTCTAGAATTTCAAGTCTGGTAACATAAGGTATTCTGCAACAAGTAGAGGAGTGGAGAACTCTTGTGAAATATTTCTGGACTTTCTCAACTCTGTTATGAATGTGTTGGAAGAAATATCCTTCTGGGTTCCAAGTGGGGGAAAAGACACTGGATTCATGGAAGTTGCTTGGAAATAAGGTTTATTGATGGACAGGATCACATACCTTCGAGCTCTTGGGTGAAAAAGGGCAGGGATGCTGAGTTTTATGCCCTTTGTTGGGATTTGAATTGGAGCTTGTATTCCGATTGGTTGTCAGACTCCCATGGGGCCGTGCAGGGGCAACTCTGTAGGCTGTCCCGAATCCCATGCTTGGTTGAGCCTTGCTGGGTGATAATGTAATGAAAGGGCTTTGGGCAATTCCTATTATGGCTCTGCTTGAAGGAGGTAGTTCTTTGTTATGTAGAATAGACTGGCCCAGGACTCAATGGCCCATTAACAAAGGTTGTGGGGGAGGGGGGTTGAGTTTCTGCCTCTGAGTTTCTACTTCTCTTTTAGGGAAAATATTCTGCCTTTTTAGTATATCCTTAAATATTTCATTTTCCTAGGAGAGGGGTGGGTTTTAACTTCCAACTGATGGTGTGACCTAATATCAATTAATAGCTTCACAAATAAAGGAAAGAAGAAAAGTTGTAGATCGAATGCCTTTGGTTCAATTATTTAGAAATATTTCATAACGCTCATTCATTCTTCAGAATTATTTTAGATTTCAGAATTGCACTTTGCATATAGCATCCAGAATGGGACACCAATAGAGTTTATATACCATTTAAAAATGACAATAATAGTGAAGGATAGGATATAACATTTCCAAGCAACTAGAGACACACAGGTAGAATTTCCAGAAGTTGTTCTACATAATTTCAAAAGGTAGAATGAGGAATAATGATTTCTGGATTCCTTCTCTGAGAAGCAGGTTCAATTCATCGCTTAAATGATCCATTACTATCCTAATATTGATATTACTCAACTTTTAGTGATTAGATATCAAATGCAGCTACTATACTACATTTCTGAAAAGTAAATGAATAAGATACATAGATGGGGTGTTTATTAAGAACTGTACTAATTTTAACCATTTAATGCCATTGGCATTTTATAGGAATCAATATACATCCATCCACAATATATTCTTCGTGTCATTATTTATTCCACCAAATTTGGGTTTTAAATTTAGGGTTTTTCTAATTAAACCACGGCAGGGAGACTGAGACCTGTAGGAAAGGAGAAACCTTCCACCTTTGGAAGCTGCCACGAGCCACTCTTTCTTAGAAATGCCACCCTCGCGATGCTGAGGGCGTCTGACAGGCAACGAAACTTCTGCGGCCGGCCTGGGGAGCCGGACATGAAGGGGGATCCGCGCTGTCAAAGGAGGCGAGCCACAAGGCGTTTTTCGTGAAATAACCCCAGTAAAAGTCCTGACTTGGAAGAGTTTGACCGGCAAAGCGCCGTTCCTCCGACGCCAGAGGGAACGAATGAATGTGTTACTTGGGTTCATCCGAGCGGCTTTTGCGGCCAAACGCCCGTCCAGGGGCAGCGCCTTCCCTCGCCACGCCGCCCCTAGGTTCCCCCGGAGTGGCCTGGCCCTCCTCCCCGGCCTCGCTGCCCAAAGGCAAGCTTTGAATTGACACCAAAAGGCCCAACATTTCCCAATGGAAGAGGCGCGAGGCCGAACGGCGCTCCGCTTCTGCCCGCTTTGCTCCCGCCCGCCGCTTCCCTCCTGCCGCCCGCCGCCCCCGGCCGAAAGGCCCGGCCCCCCTGCCCCGTTTCCACCGGGACCGGCCGGGCCCGCGACCCAGCCGCCAGTTTGGGGGCGCTTTTGGGCCCCGCAAGAAACACAAAGTGGCAGCGGCCGCCGCCGCGTCTGGCGGGCAAAGACCAGCGCCCGCGAACGCACCAATCAGGGCGCAGCTCCGCCCCTATAAATAGCAGGCAGCTCCTTTGCTTTCCTTCAGACTTTACTTTCCGGCTCCGAAAGACCCTGTGCCAGCCAGCCAGCCAGCCAGCCAGCCAGCCAGCCAGCCGCCGCCGCCCCGAAAGGAAGCCGAGAGGTCCGAAGGAGGAGAGCATGTCCGAGACGGCGCCCGAAGCCCCCGCCGCCGCTGCGCCGGCCGCCAAGGCGCCGGCCAAGAAAGCCAAGAAGCCCGCGGCCGCCGCCAAGCCGCGCAAGGCCGCCGGGCCCAGCGTCACCGAGTTGCTGACCAAGGCGGTGGCCGCCTCCAAGGAGCGCAACGGCGTGTCCCTGGCGGCGCTCAAGAAGGCCCTGGCGGCGGCCGGCTACGACGTGGAGAAGAACAACAGCCGCATCAAGCTGGGCCTGAAGAGCCTGGTGGGCAAAGGCACGCTGGTGCAGACCAAGGGCACGGGCGCCTCGGGCTCCTTCAAGCTCAACAAGAAGCAGCAGCAGCAGCAGGAAGCCAAGGACAAGGTGGTCAAGAAGAAGCCGGCCCTCAAGAGCAAGAAGCCCGCCCCCAAGAAGCCCAAGAAGCCCGCCCCCAAGAAGAGCCCCAAGAAGGCGGTCAAGAAGCCGGCCGCGGGAGCCAAGAAGCCGGCCAAGAGCCCCAAGAAGGCCAAGCCCGCCAAGGCCAAGAAGCCGGCGAAAAGTCCCGCCAAAGCCAAGGCGGTCAGGGCGAAGGCAAAGGCCGCCAAGCCCAAGACTCCCAAGGCGAAGGTGGCCAAGCCCAAGAAGGCGGCGGCCAAGAAGAAGTAAAGCGGCTCCTCTGACACTTCCGATCCCAAAAGGCTCTTTTAAGAGCCACCCAATTTTTCCTTTGAAAAGAGCTGGCTTCATTTGAGCCCAAGCACTCGCGTCAACCCCCCTTTTTAATGGGAACATTTTAGGACGTCTGAAGTGCCTGCTTGAAACCCTTCCACAAGGACTCTTGGGAAGGTCGTAGGGGTCTTTCGTAGTCTCATTTCTTCCGGGCAGCGTTTTTGGATATTGAAGCATGGATGAGTGGGTGGGATAATCTTTGCTATGATTCTTTTATCTTCCGATCAAGAATAGCAACTGACTTCCCTAAGTAGGTAGGAACTCAGAACCGCGCTGTTTGTTGGACAGGGAATGCGAGGTAAAATGCTTGATGAATTTTCGGTAGCACCATATTCTCCCGTAAAATCAGCGAGAGCGCTACCCTTCGTTCTTTCCGCCACGACTATTGCCCGGATATTCCTCCCTAATTATGCACAATCTTTTTAAAAATATATAACGATAGTGGAGGACGGGGGAGAAAGAATGTCTATTGAATGAATGCAGATATGCAGAACTATTGCAACCTTTGCAATTCCTGAAAATTGCCGATTGGTTGAGAAAGCTATGATTCGTTTTAAAAAAATAACCCGGGCTACATAAGGATTCGGTGGTGACTTCATTTCTAGCCAATCAGAGCTAACGTAGGCACTGCGCATAATGATCTAACTGCAATGCTGCTTTTCCCGATATTTCGTTACAATGTAATGAAGGGATGTGAAAGTGATCGGTGTTGCTGATATGGTGTAACCCAATTTTCGGGAATGATCATGAGATGTTATCCAAGCATTAAACTATTTGAGGCGTCCTTAAGTTTAAGGAAGAAAAAAAATGCACAGTAAACATTACTGTTTTTTTTTAATGTTTAATGTTTTTTTTTTAAAAAAAACTAAGGATGTTCGAGGCACTTTTGCCCATCACACCGAAATAAAATGTTGAAATCAAGTACTGAAAAGGAAAAGAAATACAGTACACTAAATATTTCTGCCAGCATGCTTGTAAAATCTTCCTTGGTAAACGGCTTTGTTATAATTCACAAATCACAACTCTCAATTTCCTGAGGTGCATTTAATCTCTAAAACTTTTTTGTAAATTACAAAAGGCGGTACAACTTCAAAAAAAAAAGTTGTACACCAGCTTGTATATAGTGCTTTGTAAGCATAAAAAGAAAACTTGCGTCTTTGTAACACATTTCTTTATAAATGAAGAATCTGATTGGTCATATTCCAGTTCCTGGTTGATTTATTGATGGAAAAGCCCGCCTCTTGGGATTCTTAGGAAGGGCGAAGGAGGAGGGGGTGAAAGTGATATACGCCCCTCTTCAAGTTCTCACTCAGGTCCGGTAAAGTGCTATATAAATGTTGCTCTTGCGCCCGACTATCATATTGTTCAGCGGTTCTTTCAGGGAGTAATACCGGTTGCTTTTGTCATGTCTGGTCGTGGGAAAGGCGGAAAAGGTCTTGGAAAAGGAGGCGCCAAGAGGCACCGGAAAGTGCTTCGCGATAACATCCAAGGCATCACCAAGCCTGCTATTCGCCGTCTGGCTCGCCGTGGAGGTGTAAAGCGTATTTCAGGCTTGATTTACGAAGAGACTCGCGGTGTACTGAAGGTCTTTTTGGAGAATGTTATTCGGGATGCTGTGACCTACACCGAGCACGCGAAGAGAAAGACCGTAACTGCGATGGATGTTGTTTATGCTTTGAAACGCCAAGGTCGTACTCTGTACGGTTTTGGTGGATAAGTGCGTGAATCCCATATTTATCGATCTAAAAAGGCCCTTATCAGGGCCGCCCACGCATTCATAGAAAGAGCTGTATTCGCTTATGCATACGAGTGTAAATGTTGGATGTGTTCGCTTGTGGGTGCAAATTGAATTTGTAGTACTGGAAGAACCGTATTAGTCCCATGATGAGGGGGGGAAAAAAACCCAAAACCAAAAGTGGTCTTAGTCGGGAAACTCCTTCAGAGGAACATTGTAATCTCGGCAATTGATACAAGCTCTTTGAAAAGAAAGTGACAGCATCTGAGAATGTAAACTTTCAGTCCATTCATGTATCGCTTTTGGAAAATGAAAGTAGCTCTTTTAAAAATTAGCCCGTTTCCAGGAAATTAACAAAAATCAAGACCTTCCTCCTGCAACTCTTGAAGAGAAACGCGAATGGCTCAATTCCCCTGCCCCCGCTGCCTCCAGCTGTTTAAAACAGGCTGGTTCTCATTTCATGCCATCTTTCCCCCTTATTTCTGCCATTAAAAGTAATTGCTCTCACATTTTCTAGTCGGTGGGTATTTTTTCCTGCACCCCCTTCGTCCCCACCCCGCTTTTTCATAGCAAATAGAGAAGGGAAAGGGTTTATTTAGGAAAAGGGGCAGAGAGAAACACGTGGGGACGTCTGCCAATCGCAATGCAGCTGGAATGTTTCAGTTGAGCGCTTTCTATTGTTCTTTTTCCCGGTTCTTGTTGATTATGAATCCCAAGGTTAAGCTTGATGAGAAACGTGCTGCCTAAGTGGCAGAAAGGTTTTATAAATGGGCAGTATTCACCTCAGCTCAGGATTTGTTTAACCATGATTTAGCCAATAAGTTATGACATGAACTGTACGATATACTTTTAGTTAATTGAGCTACTTTTCATAACATCTACATTGCATATCCTATCTGTAGGCTAACAGTAGTAGTCAAATTCACACACACACACACACACACACACACACACACACACTTTAGACTAATAACCCCAGAATCATGTGCAAGTCATTTTTGATTAATAAAGTAAATTAAACATGTTGGCTCTGTGCAATTTTTTAAAAATAACTTGGTAACTAAGCAGCATAAACTGCTCTACACCGAAGTTGCTCTATGCCTTTAAAGAATTCCAGAATGCCAGTAAAAATTTTCAGAAATTACCACCCAAATGCAAAACATAAGTGAGAAGAGTTCATATGCATTATACCCTATACTCAAGTCTCATACTCAGGAGCTCAGCAGGACCAGGTTTTCTTAGAATTTGAATTGGATAGCACCAGATAATCCCAGAATTGTAAGAGAAAAAAGGCTAGATTGGGAAATTGAAAAAATGTCTCAGAAGAAAGCAAACCACATTCATCCTGCCAAAAAAATATTTTTATATCCTCTCTTTTTTTCTTTATAAGTACAGGTAGTCCTCAACTTGCAACCATTCATTTAATGACCATTTGAAATTACAATGGCACTCACTAAAAAAAGTGACCGTTTTTCACATTTACGGCTATTGCAGGATCCCCATGGTCACATGATCAAAAATTGGATGCTTGGCAACTGGTTCGTATTTAAGGCAGTTGCAGTGTCCCAGGGCCATGTGACCACCTTTTCCAACCTTCTGACAAGCAAAGTCAATGGGGAAGCTAGAATCACTTAACAACCGTGTTAATAAATTAACAACTGCAATGTTTCACTTAACCACGGTGGCAAGAAAGGTCTCAAAATGGCGTACAACTGTTGCTTAGCAACAGAAAATTTTGGCTCAATTGTCATAAATCAAGGACTATCTGTAATTCAAGGTGGTGAATATGCATAATACTCCTTCCTCCTCCTGCTTTCCCAACAACAAATCTGTGAGGTGAATTGAGTTGAGAGGGAGTGAATGGCCCAAAGTCACCCAGCTGGTTCACATGTCTAAGGTGGGACTAGAAGTCACATCCTCCTTGTTTATAGAATAGAATAGAATAGAATAGAATAGAATAGAATAGAATAGAATAGAATAGAATAGAATAAAAGAATGAAGAGAAGAATAGAATAGAATAAAATAGAATAGAATAATGGAATGTAGAATAGAATAGAATAGAATAGAATAGAATAGAATAGAATAGAATTCTTTAGGCTAGTATCTTAAACGTTACTCCAAACTTTATCCATCATTTAAGTATATCTTCCCTTTTCTATTAAACAAAATGTACTTCTGTATTAGCATAAGGTGTCAAACGAATTTCTCAAAGCAGCAAAACTGAGTTTCTTAAGGAATAGGTGAAGGATTATGAGCCCAAGGAACAGCTGATTAGTACAGAAATAGAGAACCTGATGCTCTTTAAATTAAAACTCCCCCAGTCTCTTGGTTTGTGCATAGAAAAGAGTCTGATGGGTGTGATCCAGTCAGTCATAATATCAGTCACAACACCGTAATTGAGCTTTGCCAATTTTTTTATGTGTATTGCCATCTTGATTTCTTTTCCACATCCAGCAAAGAGTCCTTTTATTGTGGTTGGAACTCATGGAGGATGAAATCAAAAATATCTGAAAGCAAATAGCCCACCTCTAGATTAATTCTGAAAGCTTTTAAAAAGAAAAAAAATCCATCCAATATTCTAAAGATAGATGTTACATTTGTGGGTGAAAGCTGCAAAAGAGGATTACCAGTAAATACTATGTTTCTTATTCTCTTTCAATCATGTCTGCACAGAAAATGAGCTGAATCAGAGGAAACCTCTACTAAATTGCACAAAAGGCAACTTAGTTGCAAGAATGAAGTAACTAATGCAAGGCAACATTTGCCTTTGTTTTTTGTCTCCACTTTTGCCTTTACATTATGTGAATTGTCTCACAAAAGAGCTGGAAAATAAACCTTTCTAAAGCAATCAGCAAAAATATTTCAGTAAACGTTTTAAAACGTTATTCCCAGGGTATCGGGAGAAAAAAAATCCCTTTATTCGGTTTTAAATTTTATAACAATATATGTTCAATAGGTAAATTATGAGAGGTTGAGACGATGTTTAAAGCTAAATTAGCCGCCCCACACAATTTTTTTAATGGGCTCCGAAATCATAGAAACCTTTGCGTACTATTTACTGTATTCTGATTGGACAGTTTAATTTCGTATTGGTAGTTCATTGGACAGAGGAACAATAAGGTTCGTTTAAAAAAAAAAACCAACACCCCTTCGCCCGCTGTTTTCATTCTGGTCGGTCTCTTTGCAATATAAGCCGAGGGATTCGTACGCTGACTGCATTTCTTTTGTTGCAAGTGAGGTAGTCGCTACGTGAAGAGAAGCATGTCTGGACGTGGAAAGGGCGGCAAAGGGCTCGGAAAAGGGGGCGCTAAGAGGCATCGGAAAGTGCTCCGCGACAACATCCAAGGCATTACCAAGCCTGCTATTCGTCGTTTGGCTCGCCGTGGGGGAGTAAAGCGTATTTCAGGCTTGATTTACGAAGAAACTCGGGGCGTACTGAAGGTTTTCCTGGAAAACGTTATTCGTGATGCTGTGACCTACACCGAGCATGCAAAGCGAAAGACTGTGACTGCGATGGACGTTGTTTATGCCTTGAAACGCCAGGGTCGTACTCTGTATGGCTTCGGAGGCTAAAAGCTGAATTAACCGAATACAAAACCCAAAGGTCCTTTTCAGGGCCGCCAAATATTTCAGAAAAATTTGCTGAGTTGCTTGCTGATTTTGTAAGCAGAATTTTGCTATAAACATTCGAATCTTAAACTATTGTGAATGCATGCATGCATGACACTTTAAATCCAGTTTGCTAGCAAATTTTGAGGAACAATTCCTGTAGGGTTTTTTTAATCCAAGATTTTCTGAAATAGGTTGCTATTATTTTCCTTTAAACTGGGTTGTGAGCAATTACATCTCAGGTCACCAGGCTGCTTGAGGCAGAGTTCATAACTTCTGGCTTTGTATCCTTGGAGTTTCAACCCCTGTTTCAAATTAGGCTTTCCTTAATATTGTCCACATGAAAATATAGTAGTGCAACATTTTAATTCTAAGAATAATTAGAGTTGTGTAAAACAAGACATAAGCACTATGTCAAATAAATGCAATGCTATTTTGAAAAAGGATATTTCTAACAAGCATAACAGTCCTATATTCAACATTCTGCTAAATTCAATGAGAATTAGTCTGGAATAAAGATTGCAGCCCTAATGCAATGGCTCTAATTGGAAGATGTTTTTAAAAATCAATACCATACTGTCTCTTAAAGCTGAACAGTAACAATGCAAAGGATTTTTTTTTTTTGCTTTTTGTTAATTTATGTGGATTGAAAAGTTTATAGTTTTCCTTCACTAGATGACTTATGAAAAATGGGGGGGGAATAGTCATGATCTTTAAAAATGTGTGTTGGTGGACTAAGATCACCAATAGATGCCAGTTCTGCTCCAGAAGCAAGTCAGAAATCATTCTCTTCCTTTGAGAATTATAGTATAGGCCTGAATTTTTGTTATGGCTTTTTACTATCCCATTTTGCTGAGTTTAAAGCTTGTTTCAGCTTCTCTTAATCGTGTAGGACTCATGCTTCACTCCAGGACTAGATTCATCTCTTATAAAAGTATTCCAGATAGGAGTATGCCCCCCACTACCCCCACACTTCCTGGGTATATATATATACTGGGTAAATATAATCTATTTTTATCTGGTTGCTTTGTACTGTTTTTTGTAGCAAGGATTTAATAGTTAATTCTTTTAGTGCATTGTTTAAACTCTCACAGCAATAATCTCTTGCTTTCTAAAGAGCTATTCTGGTAATAATATTTAATTTATATAAATTACAATTTAACAGGGGCCCACCAAGGTTGTGTGCTTTCTCCACTTCTCTTCTCCCTATATGCCAATGATTGCATCTCAAATGATCGATCTGTTAAAATACTGAAGTTTGCAGATGATACAATAGTGATTGGTCTCATTTGAGACAACGATGAATCCGCATACAGACAGGAGGTTGTACAAGTCGCTTCATGGTATAACCGGAACAATCTGGAACTGAACACAATCAAAACTGTAGAAACGGTGGTAGACTTTAGAAGAAACCCTCCCATCAAAAACATCATTGAAAAAGCACAACAAAGAATGTTCCTTCTGTGTCAACTCAAACTGCCCAAGGAGCTGCTGATCCAGTTCTACAGAGGATCATCTGCACCTCTATAACTGTCTGGTTGGCTCTGCAACCCAACAGGACAGACACAGACTTCAGAGGATAATTAGGACTGCAGAAAAAACCATTACTATCAACCTGCCTTCCATCAAGGACCTGTATACACAAGTCAAAAAGAGGGCTGTGAAAATATTTACAGATCCCTCACATCCTGGACATAAACTGTTTCAGCTCCTACCCTCAAAATGACATTATAGGGTACTGCACACCAGAACAACAAGACACAAGAACAGTTTTTCTCCGAAAGCCATCACTCTGCTAAATAAATAATTCCCTCAACACTGTCCAACTGTTTACAAAGTCTGCACTACTATTACTATTAATCCTCCCATCCTTCCTTTCACCCATCCCCTCCCACTTGTGACTGTATGACTGTAACTTTGTTGCTTGTATCCTAACAATTTATACTGACTGTTTCCTAGTATGATTTGATTGCTTATTTATTTATTTAATTTATATTGCTGCCTATTCACCCATGGTGACTTGAGAGGGCTTACACAGTGTAAAACCATATTTAAAACAAAAAATAAAAACAATAAAAACTAACAAAAAGAATCAAATAAATTAGTAAAATACGATAGGACAAAATCTAAAAATAAAAAGGGGAAAAAAAAAAAAACCAACTCCCACCCCACCTCCTGATGACAGCAGATCACACTAGCCACCTGATGGGCTCCATCCTGCTCTGGGCTCCCCAGGCCCACTGGCAGAACCAGGTCTTCAGTGCCTTTCGGAGGAGTGCTAGAGTGGGGACCATTCTAATCTCTGGGGAAATGATGTTCCAGAGAGAGGGAGCCACTCCAGGTATATCTCTCTCAGGGATGAGAGCCGCAACATTCCCTGCCTCCCCGCTCTGATGGGTTGGGTAGATGTGACCGGCAAAAGACCTTCCCTCAGATAACCTGGTCCCAAGCCATGAAGGGCTTTGAAGGTGACAACTAGCACCTTGAATTGCACCCAGAAGCAAATTGGCAATCAATGCAGCTCCTGCAGGAGAGGTGACACATGTGCACACCGGGGTCTGCACAAAACCATGCGAGCCGTTGCATTTTGCACCAACTGGAACTTCCGGATGTTCTTCAAGGGCAGCCCCATGTAGAGCACGTTGCAATAATCAAGATGGGAAGTGACTAGGGCATGAGTGACTATGAGTTGGGACCGCTGATCCAGGAAAGGGCGTAACTGGTGCACAACCTGCAGTTGCACAAAGGCCCTCCTGGCCACGACTGCCACCTGCTCTTCGAACAGGAGTTGTGAATCCAGGAAAACCCCTAGGTTACGCCCTATGTACCTTATTGTACCCTATGACTTTAGTCTATATACCCTATGACCATGTAACACTATGACTAATATTAAGTGTTGTACCTTATGATTCTTGATGAATGTATCTTTTCTTTTATGTACACTGAGAGTATTTGCACCAAAGACAAATTCCTTGTGTGTCCAATCACACTTGGCCAATAAAGAATTCTATTTCTGTTGTTCTGTCCTGTCCTGTCCTGTCCTGTCCTCTCCTTTCCTTTCCTTTCCTTTCCTTTCCTATTCCTTCCTCCACATAGCAGAAAAGGCAAATGTCTGGATTCTTTTTTCCAATCTCAATCACAATATCTACCAGAATTGGAAGTGAAATTGAAATCCAACATATCTGGAAGGAACTAGACTAGGGAAATTGTGCATGTTATATTGTATATGAAATATTTGTAATTTGTAAACTTTTAAACATTCCTATTTTCAATTTGGGCCAAAATTAGCCATGGAGTTAGTTATTAAGGAGCAATGCATCTTTTGCTGACATTTGCTGAGCGCTGAATGAGGAAAAGAATATGACTAAATAGTTTCACATAATTTCACAAGGAGAGTTCTCCACTCCTCTACTCATTGCAGAATACCTTATGCCACCAGATTTTAAATTCTAGGCCTAGAAAACCTAGAACTACGCCGCCTTCGGTCCAATCTAAGTATAGGATATAAAATCATACATTGCAATGTCCTACCTGTCAATGAATACTTCAGCTTCAACCATAACAATACAAGAGCAAACAATAGATACAAACTCAAGGTTAATCACACCAAACTAGATTGCAGGAAATACGACTTCAGCAACAGAGTGGTCAGTGTCTGGAATACTCTACCTAGGGTTTCTTCCCCAAACCCTAAAAACTTTAGACTGTCTACTATTGACCTCACCCCTTTCCTAAGAGGTCTGTAGGGGGCGTGCCTAAGCGCACCAACGTGCCTACCGTCCCTGTCCTATTGTTTCTTTTATTTTTCTTATATGTATTCATGTATTCATAACTATGTTTTTACTTATACCTATTATCTTGTAAGCAATTGACAAACTAAATAAAATAAAATAAATGATAGACTCAATAATTCCTCTGTAAAACTGTATCAGCAGCTCCTTGGGCAGTTTGAGCTTTCTGAGTTGACGCAGAAAGAACATTCTTTATTGTGCTTTTTGATTATATTTTTTATGTTAAGTGTCCATTTTGGGTCATGTGATATGATAGAACCTAGAAATTTGAAGGTCTCTACTGTTGATACTGTGTTGTCTAGTATTGTAAGATTTGGTAGTATGGGAGGGTTTCTTCTAAAGTCTACCACCATTTCTACGGTTTTGATTGTGTTCAGTTCCAGATTGTTCCGGTTACACCATGAGGCGACTTGTACAACCTCCTGTCTGTATGCGGATCGTCGTTGTCTCGAAATGGCACTAGATTGCAGTCTTAGCAATAAATTTGAATAAACCTTTGTATAATATACTCAAGTTGTATGCTTAAGATTTCATAATAGAAAGCAGAGAATATCGAATATTGGTAATAGAGTTGGAAGGAACATTGGATCTTTTTTAATCCAATCCCCTGGCTGAGCAGGAAATCTTTCCAGACAAATGGCTGTCCAACCTCTTCTTCTTAAAAACTTCCAGTGTTGAAGCAGCCACCATTTCTGAAAGCAAGCTATTCATCTGATTCATTGTTCTCACTGCAGGAAATTCTTCCTTAGCTCTAGGCTTTGATAATTTCCCATCTGTTTTGGATACAGTATTCCATATATGGTCTTACCAAAACATTACTAATATGCAGCTTCTTCCATTACTGCTAATAAATTAGTGGATAGAATAAATTCCAATGGCTCCAGTTTTATTTTTTTGTAAAATCCTGGACAGATTGCAAGATTTATTATTTCCAATATATTCGTGGATGGAGAAATCCTCTCTTAGGACTGTATTCGATAAACGAATACATGGCTAGGGGAGACAGGATACCTCGAGTCAATTAAAATAACAGAATAGCGATTGGCTGCGGTAGGAGGAAAAGAGACCAATCAGAGTTCTGCTGTTATTGTCCAATCATGACAAAACCCGGGAAATTCAAACAGAATTAATGACTACATTGCCACTCTCAGCCAATAGGAAGATGGGACGCTGCCTATAAAAGACCCACTAGCTCGCCAGCCAAATTCATTCACCCGAACTTTTAGAGAGCGAAGTTGTATCGTTTGGAAGATGGCCAGAACCAAGCAGACTGCTAGGAAGTCCACCGGTGGTAAAGCACCAAGGAAGCAGCTTGCTACCAAAGCAGCTCGCAAAAGCGCACCCGCCACCGGAGGAGTGAAAAAACCTCACCGCTACCGTCCTGGTACTGTGGCTCTCCGAGAGATCCGCCGCTACCAAAAGTCCACCGAGCTGTTGATTCGCAAGCTCCCTTTTCAGCGCTTGGTGCGTGAAATTGCCCAGGACTTCAAGACCGACCTGCGTTTCCAAAGCTCGGCTGTGATGGCCCTTCAGGAGGCCAGCGAGGCTTACTTGGTGGGGCTGTTTGAAGATACTAATCTCTGCGCCATCCACGCCAAGCGAGTCACCATCATGCCCAAAGACATCCAGTTGGCTCGCCGTATTCGCGGTGAGAGAGCTTAAGGAATCCCTTCACCTCACTCGGAGACTTCGTTATACCCCAAAGGCTCTTTTAAGAGCCACCTACGCGTTCACTTAAAAAGAGCCTGGTCTTTCATACTGTGTTCTTTTCTATCTTACGAGTTCTTCATTCCTGGCATCAATATAGGCATTGTCCCTGCAGCTTCCTTGATGGTTTTATTAGTCGTGGCGGGTCGGGAGCACCGAAGCGCTTTCGGTTACAGAGAATTAGTCCGTGACATCAGCCATTACTTTAACCCTAAACAGTTTGGGGAGGCTGGTTATCTACTCACGGCTGCCCGCTTTAAACGGTTGGGTCAGCTGTAGCGTGACGGGAGATCACACCGACCAGCTGGTCGAATATGAACGAGTCTGCCCAGCTTCCAAATCTCGTGAGCCACCCACCGCGCTCCCACATTCTTTCCTAACGGGCTGAAGGTTAGGCGAAATCATTAGACCCTTGTCCCATTCTAACATCCTCTTAAATTCACCACCTCTCGTTCAAATAGTCTGGGGGACTATGAGGATTGGGGAAAGACTGAAAAGGAGGAAATAGATACTGTATTGACCTGCTCAGGAGCTGCTTGACTGAAGAGGGTTTGGAGTATGTCAATTTTTTTCAGTGTCTCAAATGAGGCCAGCTCTTTTCAAAGGAAAAATTGGGTGGCTCTTAAAAGAGCCTTTTGGGATCGGAAGTGTCAGAGGAGCCGCTTTACTTCTTCTTGGCCGCCGCCTTCTTGGGCTTGGCCACCTTCGCCTTGGGAGTCTTGGGCTTGGCGGCCTTTGCCTTCGCCCTGACCGCCTTGGCTTTGGCGGGACTTTTCGCCGGCTTCTTGGCCTTGGCGGGCTTGGCCTTCTTGGGGCTCTTGGCCGGCTTCTTGGCTCCCGCGGCCGGCTTCTTGACCGCCTTCTTGGGGCTCTTCTTGGGGGCGGGCTTCTTGGGCTTCTTGGGGGCGGGCTTCTTGCTCTTGAGGGCCGGCTTCTTCTTGACCACCTTGTCCTTGGCTTCCTGCTGCTGCTGCTGCTTCTTGTTGAGCTTGAAGGAGCCCGAGGCGCCCGTGCCCTTGGTCTGCACCAGCGTGCCTTTGCCCACCAGGCTCTTCAGGCCCAGCTTGATGCGGCTGTTGTTCTTCTCCACGTCGTAGCCGGCCGCCGCCAGGGCCTTCTTGAGCGCCGCCAGGGACACGCCGTTGCGCTCCTTGGAGGCGGCCACCGCCTTGGTCAGCAACTCGGTGACGCTGGGCCCGGCGGCCTTGCGCGGCTTGGCGGCGGCCGCGGGCTTCTTGGCTTTCTTGGCCGGCGCCTTGGCGGCCGGCGCAGCGGCGGCGGGGGCTTCGGGCGCCGTCTCGGACATGCTCTCCTCCTTCGGACCTCTCGGCTTCCTTTCGGGGCGGCGGCGGCTGGCTGGCTGGCTGGCTGGCTGGCTGGCTGGCTGGCACAGGGTCTTTCGGAGCCGGAAAGTAAAGTCTGAAGGAAAGCAAAGGAGCTGCCTGCTATTTATAGGGGCGGAGCTGCGCCCTGATTGGTGCGTTCGCGGGCGCTGGTCTTTGCCCGCCAGACGCGGCGGCGGCCGCTGCCACTTTGTGTTTCTTGCGGGGCCCAAAAGCGCCCCCAAACTGGCGGCTGGGTCGCGGGCCCGGCCGGTCCCGGTGGAAACGGGGCAGGGGGGCCGGGCCTTTCGGCCGGGGGCGGCGGGCGGCAGGAGGGAAGCGGCGGGCGGGAGCAAAGCGGGCAGAAGCGGAGCGCCGTTCGGCCTCGCGCCTCTTCCATTGGGAAATGTTGGGCCTTTTGGTGTCAATTCAAAGCTTGCCTTTGGGCAGCGAGGCCGGGGAGGAGGGCCAGGCCACTCCGGGGGAACCTAGGGGCGGCGTGGCGAGGGAAGGCGCTGCCCCTGGACGGGCGTTTGGCCGCAAAAGCCGCTCGGATGAACCCAAGTAACACATTCATTCGTTCCCTCTGGCGTCGGAGGAACGGCGCTTTGCCGGTCAAACTCTTCCAAGTCAGGACTTTTACTGGGGTTATTTCACGAAAAACGCCTTGTGGCTCGCCTCCTTTGACAGCGCGGATCCCCCTTCATGTCCGGCTCCCCAGGCCGGCCGCAGAAGTTTCGTTGCCTGTCAGACGCCCTCAGCATCGCGAGGGTGGCATTTCTAAGAAAGAGTGGCTCGTGGCAGCTTCCAAAGGTGGAAGGTTTCTCCTTTCCTACAGGTCTCAGTCTCCCTGCCGTGGTTTAATTAGAAAAACCCTAAATTTAAAACCCAAATTTGGTGGAATAAATAATGACACGAAGAATATATTGTGGATGGATGTATTCCTATAAAATGCCAATGGCATTAAATGGTTAAAATTAGTACAGTGCTTAATAAGCACCCCATCTATGTATCTCATTCATTTACTTTTCAGAAATGTAGTATAGTAGCAATTGTCAGATCTCTAATGCTAGAAAATAATAGAGTAGTAGAAATGCAGTTGCACTTGGAGTGATGATACTTTTCTGTAAATTTCTTCTAACTTACACAGGACTTTTATTCTTTCAAGAAGATATATCTAGAAATCAAGAATACATGTTTGATTTCTAACCACTGACAGTGTTTTTAAATGATTTCTTTGTTTTTTGTCAACAATAAGTCAATTCAATTTGGTTTATCTCTGACAAATAGGAAGTGTTTCACTGATGTGTATTTTAATCCTATCTTTTAAAATTCATTGTACAATGGTTCTGATTTCATTTTATATTTCTACTGGGAAATGAAACTTCATGACCGCCTTTCAGTTGAGTAAGTTTAATAACAATGGAGGTTGGGAATAAATGGAAATAAACTAAGTCTGTCAGAATCTATGGAAAGAATATCCATCACTTTTCATAATTACCTTAAGAACATAAGCAGTGGCCTGCTGGATCTGACCCCTGGCCCATCGAGTCCTGCAATGACCAATCAAAAACAGGCAGTCCTTGAGTTACAACAGCTCATCTAGTGACCATTCAAAATTACATTACTGAAAAAAATGACCATTTATCACACCTGCAACATCTCCCTTGGTCATGCCATCAGAATTCAGAAACTTGGCAACTGAGTCATATTTATGACAGCTGCAGTGTCCAGGGTCATATGATCTCGTTTTGTGACCTTCTGACTAGCAGAGTCAATGCCAGTTAGCTCAGTTGGTTACAGAGTGGTGCTAATAACGCCAAGGTTCGGTCCCTGTCTGGCTACTCTTTTTAAAGGGGGGTGCCTACGTGCACCATCGTGCTTACCGTCCCTGTCCTATTGTCCCCATTTATTCGTACCTATTTCCTATATTCTTACTCATGTTTATACTTATATCTATTATCCTGTAAGCTATTGACAAATCAAATAAAAAAAATAAATGTGGAAAACAGTTTCACTTAGCAGCTGTGACAAGAAAGGTTGTAAAATGTGGCAAAATTCACTGTCTCGCTTAGCAACAAAAATTTTGGGCTTAGTTATGAACCTACACACAAGGAAGCTCACTAGTCTCTGAGCAGATGACTTTCAGATGCAGCCTATTTTGGCCCACAAGATTAATATAGCCATTGACTCCCAGATCAGATATGCTAATATCAATTCTTGGATAACATGAAGATCCAGTCCAATATACAAATAAAGCTATAGAAACAGAAGAGGAATTTAAATAATCTGTAGGCAGCAGAACTAAAGAAGCAACCCATAGTTTTAAATACCAAATCAGTTATAATATCCTTTCCAATATAGGTAATCCTCAATTTACAACAATTAGTTTAATGACCATTCGAAGTTACACCACCACTGAAAAAAGGGACTTATGACCATTTTTCACCCAAGTGAGGGGTGGGCTGCTGGGGGTTCGCAGGGGTTCGAAAGAGCCCCAAGCTAAGATCCTGTGCAGTTTGGGGAACCCCCCAAATCCCACTCCTGCCTGGCCCACCCCTCCCCTCCCATGAGCCCCCACAATGCCCGTTTTGGAGGCAGGTAAGTGCAGAGGTTTGGGGAGGGTGAAAAGTGGACCCCCGGGGAGTTCGGGGAAGCCAGAAATGGGCCAGTTTCTGTCTTTCAGAGAGCCTCCAGAGCCCAGGGAAGCCATTTTCGCCCTCCCAGTGGCTGGAGGAAAACCTCCAGAGCCAGAGGAGGGGAACCCCACCCCTCCAGTTGTGGTGCAGGAGGCCCACCGTGGTCACGCTCCTCCAGTAACCCTTTGCTGAAATTTTTTGAAGCCCACCCCTGCGCAAGTGTTGTAGCAGCCCTGTGGTCATGCGATCAAAATTCAGATGCTTTGGCAACTGACTCATCTTTATGACGGTTGCAGTGTCCTCAGGTCATGTGATCCCCTTTAGTGACCTTCTGACAAGCAAAGTCAACATGGAAGCCACATTGACTTAACAGCCATGTTACTAAATGATCCATGACAGATAAACAGATGATCAGAGTTGAAAGGGACCTTATGGGTCATCTAGTCCAACCCCCCCACCCAAGCGGGAGACCCTACACCATTTCTGACAGATGGCAGTCCAGTCTCTTCTTGAAAGTGTCCAGTGATGGCGTTCCCGCAACTTCCGAGGGCAACTTCTGTTCCATTGGTTGATTGTTCTCGCTATCAGAAAGTTTCTCCTTATTTCCAGGTTAAATCTCTCCTTGTTCAGTTTCCATCCATTATTCCTTGTCTGGCCTTTGGTGTGCTTTAAAAAAAGCTTGCTCTTTTAGAAAATGAACAACTGTAATTCTTCAGTTAACAACTGTGGCAAGCAAGGTCATAAAATGGGGTAAAACTAACTTAACAAATGTCTCATTTAGAAATTTCCCAGATATCCCCAGATATACCTTTCCTTTGTAACTGCCCACCCTTTCTGAGAACAACTTAGAATGAAGGATCAAAAGAACTTTAATATCATTCCCGAAATGCATGCAACATCCTCAGAGGTGGGATCCAACCAATGTAACTACTGGTTCAGTGGCTATGTGTCGTGCGCGCATGCATGCTTCACACACATGTTCACCTGACGCGTGCAAAGCGCACGTGCAATTAACAAACTGCTGAGCTCCCCGGAAAGCTGAGCAGCGCTGCGTGTGGGGTGCGCAGCATTCGAAAAAGCCCCTTTCCCCTACTTTTTCAACCTCAGCTGTGCCACCCAAAGCAGCTGAGGTTGAAAAAGCAGGAAATAAAGGACAGCCGAGAGCCCAGGCAGGTGGGTGGGCCAAAACAGCAGCAGACACAGAACCGGTTTGATGTCTGCTGCTCTTCAGAGCTACCGGTTCTACAGAGCCGGGCAGAACCAGTAGCCTCCCACCCCTGAACATCCTATGGAATGGTTTCATGGTTTAACTTTCAAACATATTTGTATGGTTGGATAGGAAGAGAAACCGTTGAAGATGTCAGGAGGGGCTGACTTATCTTCTCCTTGGCCAGTGTGGAATCCGGATGCAGAAGAGAGATTTGTTCGTTGGCTTTTGGGGAGCTTCCTTCCTTGTGCAAAATATGTATGCAGCCTGCAAGCTTGACTTGAACTCCCATCAGCATTAGCCAGTATGGCCAAAGACTGATGAATTGTGGGAATTGTAGTTCAATCCATTTAGATGGCCCTAAGATGCTTATCAGACAAATTATATTAGTAGAGTAGATTATAGTTGAGTAAAAAGTTCAATTTATTATTAGAGCTGAGAGCCTGAGGGGTAACAATACTGAGAACAAGGAATTGGGTCATTTTAGGTTCTAGAACTGTACTCTGGAACATTCACCCATGGTACATGGATGCTCTTGAATGAAAGCCAGAAACACTTTCTGTCAGCAGATAAAAGCCCATCTAGCAAAGGGTCTCCTATCTTTTCTCTGTTTTATTTACTTATGTAAAAATTAAAAATTAGCATAGTTTTATTTTTTTCTCTCCCTAGTTTCTTAACTTTACAAAATGTGTTTCCTTTTCTTTGCTTCTTATTTATATAAGGAATATAAATTTTCAGGAAGTCAAGAAAAGCAGGGTACAAGTTAAGGTCAGCCCCCAAAGTTTAATAAGGAATCCCCAGAAGCATAGTTGGACAGGGGGCCATCCAGATATATTAGGCTTAGCAAAGTAATACTAACGTGAGCACATCAGAAGTGGTATTCAGCAGGTTCTGACCAGTTCTGGAGAACCGGTAGTGGAAATTTTGAGTAGTTCAGAGAACCGGCAAATGCCACCTCTGACTGGCCCTGCCCCCATCTATTCTCTACCTCCCCAGTCCCAGTTGGTCGGTTGGGTCTTTGGTTGCCCTGCACAGGAGAACGGAGCTGGAAAAGAAAGGGGATTTTGCAGTAACCTTCCCTCAGGGGTGGGGTGGGAATGGAGATTTTACAGTATCCTTCTCCTGCCATGCCCATCAAGCCACATCCACAGAACCTGCAGTAAAAAAAAATTGAATCCCACCACAGG